CACCAGGCAGCCTTGTTCAGAAGAGAAACACAGCAATATGTACATGCCTACTGACATGCATTTTCCTTCTTAAGTCTAGCACAGAATAAAATCAGCAGCCTTCGGAGGTGACAAACATCAAACAATTTTTACTGTGGCTTTCAGCTTGATTTTGAGCAGTGAAATCACCAAAGCATCTGGAACCTAGCTGTGAAAGGATTACCATCTACCACAGATCCATGTGCAGCCAGAAAGATTACCTGTCTTGTTTCTTAATAGCAAAATTTTCCAGGCCTATTGCCAGGGCTGTAGCAAGACATCCATTAGTAGGCTTCTACCTGAGATTCAGCCTTAACAAAGATAGTGTAAAGCTTTAGAAAAATTCCCACTGCTCTGTTTCATCCAGGAGTGTTTCTCACTTGAGCAAACTGACAATGTTTTCAGCCCTTCCCCTTCATGGTGCTCACTGTTCCCCTGGGGATGCTGCACTTCAATGATCCTGCAGTGAAAACACTCCATAACCAGCACACATCTGGCACTGCTTATTCCTCTGTGCTCTGAATTTCATTTGCAAGATCACCTCCCTGGCTGAGAACCACTGATGTTAAATGGCAGCTCTACATATAAAAATTTAAAAAGATAATAATTGTCAATTCAGAGACAGTGCACAGTGTTTGTTAGACAACAACATGAAAAACTGCACTTGCTTTACTGCTGGCAGAATTAGGATAGGAGGATTCCCTTCACCCCCTCCTTTCTGTCCTGTTTACCTTCCTGCCAGTACTGTAGGGACTTCTAACACCACCAACTGTGAAAGACTTATATAACTTATTGTTTAACTTTGAGAATAACAGTCTGTCTGCAAAGGAGAGATATGCTCAGTCTGGAGAAGAAGCAACAACATGTCACTTAAACAGAGAAGCATGGGAAGCTCCTCTTTTCCCAAAATATGACATTCCCAGCTATGACATTGCCACGGTTTTACAAATCTTCATACCAGACTGCCCTCTACTGGGATGTTATTCAAATGAACTTCATCCCTGCTCTCCCCAACTTCCCCACTGTCTGAGAATCTGCACGAGAAATGCATATACTTTTTCTAGACTAATGAAAAGGCTTGATAGCCTCTTTTTCAAAACTTATATATATAACTAACAATAAACAGATTTTTTTTTCCTCACAAGCAATCCATTCAAGTGAAGAGCTGGAAATGTATCTATATTTGCCAGCCAACACCATTTTCAGCACCACAGATTTTATTTAAATCAAGCATACTTGGGGCTGGTGTCAAATGTGTAATGAGGAAAAAAACCCTGAAGCTATTTTCTTGCGTGTTGTCTGGTAAATATATTGAACTGACAAAACTTTACACAACCCTCTTTTGTCCTTATCATTGACCTAGTTTTTTCTCTCCAGTGAGAATACACACCACTCTGACTCCCCATAGTGCACCTGAGATTACTCATTTTTTCTGATGTATTATGGCAACATTATTACTTTAGCAGTCTCTGAAGGATCTCCTCATCAGGTGTGTTTCACTTGCAAGGCAGTTATTTCTCTCCCTTGACCCACTGGTTGTGAGACCTGCAAATTCTGCTCTCAACTCGAGCACCAACATTCCAGCTCTGCCCCCACCATAGAGAAACATTTGGTAGTTGGGACCAGAACACTCACACCATAATTCATCTTCATTGAAGACTCTGTACAATGTAAGAGAACCCAAATGTGTTGCTTGGACCAGCAAGGCTGGTAAAATGAAAACATTTGTTTATTTACGTGATGGGAATGCATGAAAATATGCACTTCATAACATGCTGAGCTGTGCAAAGTTGTATTGTAAAATCTATGGCAGCATATTAGCACCAAGGAAGCATATTTAGGACAGCATTAAAAGCCAATTAATTTGATTTTTACCAACAAAATTCTAATTTTTCTTCTATTACTTTGTGGTCTTCCAGTGTCTCAAACACTTTAAAAAACTGACCAGAAAACTTGCAGGAATGGCCTGAAAAGACTTCTGACCTGCTGCATAAAGATGAAACCACATTTTGCAATTGTACTGTTTTGGTTTGGTTTTTTACTGCAGAGTATTTTATCTCCTGACCATTAAAACCCATTTTTCATTAGTAGCAGTATGACAGAACCACATTTTACAGCTGGAGCTCACAGCACAACCCCACAATATCAGCTGTTTTAAAGCACTCTCACTTAGATCTAAGTTCATGATTTACTGAGGTGAATCTCTGCTTTACCACTCCTCCTTAAAACAGCATTTCTTCTTAAATACCAACATCTCTGGAAGTCTATGCCTCATAAAGGCCAAGAAAACAGTCATAAGCAGCCATATCACTCTCTAACATAAATCTATTCAACAAGAACCCACAGTAAGGAGGTGTTTGTCTATTCACTTTCCCAACAGTTATGGGGTTGTTTCAATTCCAGTGGTTTCAGAACTCATAGCTGCACTACATTCTTTTATCTTCCTGTTCTACAGCAACGAGTCACTACCATCAGACCCTTCTTTCCATCCCAAAGGTCTTTTTTCACTTAATATAAGAACTATATATTCTCGTTTATCACAACAATTACCCAAGACATTTTGTATCAGAAAAAAAGAGATACTTCTTTTACACTTAAGGCTGCCTCAAGCTTTTCTTCCATAACAGAAGAGCCAGGAGATGCCAGATGGCTGCTTCTGTGCACCCTAGCCAGGCAAACTCTTTGCTACTCACTACAAGACTGTACTATGAATTCTCTTCCAAGGTCTTCCTCATATTTGGTTCTTTATTTCTAATCTTGAGATGCTCCAGCCCTGCTTCTTAAACTTGGATATGAAAAGGCTCTGTTAGTGTGCTATTATCTCAAAGAAGGTTTTGCTACCTATAAGACCAGTACACCTCTACACCCCATACAGAAGATAAAATTTCCATAGGCTTTAGCACTGAGACTGCAAACTTCACTACCCTAAAAAACTGCAGTCTAATGAATCAGACTGCAACAGTCCTCCTCCATGGAAAATTAATTTGCCTTCACAACATGTGTAGTTTAGCTCATGACACTGGAAAGGAATAACAATAATATGCATCACATATGAATCAGTGGATACATCACTACAAGACATCTGTCACCAACAGAAAGACCATTTATATATGGAACTAAGGAAAAATAAGGATAATGATTTCCAAATTCCATTTTATTGCCAGTTAAACTCAACAGAACGGACTAGTTTTTGAACAGTAAAAAATAAATAAATCCAAAGCCCCATTTGCAAGTTTACACTGATATTCAGGTCAGTTGTTAAAGGTAGGTTTCATGAATACATGAGATTGGGTGAAAAGAGTTCTAGTTATTTGCAGAACCTACACAGAAGTCTGATTTGTATAGAGAAAGGTTTGTGTTGCCACTTTGCTGGGAAGCTCTTCACATTCTGAGAAGTCTGATTTGTATAGAGAAAGCTTTGTGTTGTCACTTTGCTGGGAAGCTCTTCACATTCTCATTCACTGTCTCGTTTTAAATCCCAGTGTTCAAATTCTTTGAAAGAACCTTTGCTTCCTGGTAGCCCACAGAAAAGACCCCCCTGATATTTTAATGCGTAAATGTATTGAAAAGTGACACAGACTGATGACCAAATTTTTCAAAAGAGGTACTCTCAGGGAAAAGTATTTCTAGGAACTGAATACCCCAGATCAGGCTAAAACCACTTCATATTGATCACAATATGAATGGCAATCTTGCCCTGGATCAAGAACAGTGTGTCCAGCAGGACTAGGGCAGTGTTCATCCCCCTGTTCTCAGTATTGGTGAGGGCACACCTTAGTGTTGTGTTCAGAACTGATGAGGGCACACCTTAGTGTTGTGTTCAGTTTGGGGCCCCTCAATTAAAAAATGACATTGAGGCACTGCAGTGAGTCCAACCAAGGGCAACGAGGCTCAAAAAAGGTCTAGAACACATAATGTATGAAGAAGGGTTGAAGGAATTGGGTTTGTTTAGCCTTGAGAAGAGGCAGCTCAGGGGTGACCTCATGGGTCTCTACAACTCCCTCACAGGGGTTGTAGAGAGGTGGGGGATGGTCTCTCCTGCCATGGCTGCAGGGAGAGGGCTAGAGGGAATGGTCATAAACTGAGACAGGGGAGATTCAGATTAGATGTTAGGTAAAAATTTTTCCCTGTTAGGGTGCTCAGGCACTGGAGTAGATTGCCCAGGGAGGTGGTGGAGTTACATCCCTGGAAGTGTTTAAGAGGTGTCTGGATCTGGCACGGGAGTATATGGTTTAGGGTTCAGGGGTTACAGTAGTGACAGGTTAATGGCTGAACTTAAAAATCTTAGAGGTCTCCTCCAGCCCTGATGATTCTATGATTCTAATTGCAAAACTTAGGTTCTCTAGGACTTAGCAGATATACTAGTAATTCCACAAAATCAGCTTAAGAAATTACTTTCAGCAGTCACTGGTTCTGTCTTCAGTAACACAGTCTGTACCACTTGTGCTGATAAA